TAGCAGCGGCGCGCATATTTCAGCAGCGGCGCAGCGCCGCTGCTGAAAACATATAGGGGAAACACTGCACATCAATTATTTAGATGTATTCATTGTTATGGCACGAGCTAGCTTTGACTTGACCTGGTAGGTAACAGTGCAGTTACTGTGGTTTGTTTTTAAAGCTTTGTTTTGTCCGAACTGCAAATTAAATGGAATTACACAATATGCCATTAAGCTATACCTTTTTCAAATAAAAAAAGGTCTATAATAAACTCTATTCATTTATTTTATTGATAGAACACATTTCGTACAGGAAGTGTAGTTTGAATTGCTTTACAATCAAGTGCAATAACAGGATAATTATTATTTAAAAAAGTGCAAATTCAACTAAAATATACCAAAGAATCAGGTAAATAAATGGAAGTTGGCAGCATGGAGCAGTTTCATTTAGTCGGACAGCTAACATGAAGCTCACAAGGTGATTTCATCCTTCCAGTTTGATTTCGAGAATCGGATCCATGGCGCCAACTTCCTGGCCTACCCGCCTGTCGTTGCCGGGGGAAACCGAGCCAACACTCTGCACTACATCAACAACAACCAGATCATCAAGGTAAAAGGAAGGTGTAGCATGTTATTATTTATATACAGTAATAACTGAACAGCTTTATTGACTCTGCTCTCCTCCGTTAGGATGGTGAGATGGTGCTGCTCGATGGAGGCTGTGAATACTTTGGTTACGTCAGTGATATCACTCGGACATGGCCAGTGAATGGAAAGTAAGTTTGTCAAAATAAGCAATTAAACAAATCCTTCACTATGTTTGTTTTCTAAAGGCAGAGCTTTACCTGAAATCCATCTGATCCCTACATCAGAACTCACCCTCTGTTTCTTAAACCTTAATTACGCTTAGCTTTGCTTTATTTTTGTATCTTATAGGTGGATATTATTATTATTTTATGTCTCTACATTTGGGAACCTTTTTAAAAGGTGTTTTTAAGAAGTATTCTGATGACAACAACAAACACACACTTAAATATATAATATGTAACATCTTTGCATGAAATATATATGACTCGACTTGTGTTATACATGGTGTGGAGTTGAGTTCACTTATACAGAATTGATTTAAGTGAAATACCTACTCCCCATAGGTTCAGCCCTGCGCAGGCGGAGCTGTACGAGGCGGTGCTGGAGGTGCAGCGCTCCTGTCTGTCCATGTGTTCGCCGGGCGTCAGTCTGGATCACATCTACAGCAGCATGCTGGCTCTGCTGGGGCGGCAGCTCAGGAGGCTCGGCGTCGTGAAGGCCAGCAGCAGTGAGGCTGATGTACTGAAGGTAAGAATCAGAGAAATTGAAATGGCATGGAGTCTGGCTGGTAAACATGATGCTTTATCCAGTATGAAGAGCAATTCTGTTGGAAAAAAAGAAGCAAATTGTGCTTGTTTTGTTTTTGTAAAACAAAGCTGCTGCAAGTAATACAATTCTCAGGATGAGTAGCAGATGATTAACTATACAACAAAGTTATGTTTTCCAGATACAAATATTCAGCTGCTCCTTAAAGTGGACCTATCATGCTATATTTGAATAATATAGTGTAGGACCATACCTATATAAGGCATATTTATACTTTTTATTTTTCAAAATACCAAACAGATCATGCATTTTAGCCATTCCTCATTTTGCTCAATTTAACACTGTCTTTGCATGGGCTGATTCTGTGAGAACAGCACCATCTACAGGCCTGGCATATGTACTACAGCGTCTCCAGCGCTTTCCAACGGCAATGTCCGTGGCTGTCTCCTCCTGATTGGTGGAGTTGGCCCAATAGCCGTAGCGCCACTTCTGTGACGTCATAGAAGTGTTCAAATCTGGATCAGTCTGTATCAGATCCGTTGCAGCCCCTTTTTAAGAGATTTGGGTATGGAGGAAAATAGAGAGGGTTGTGTTTTCTGACACTTGGTGAGTTCCCTGAAACACCGGGGACACATATTCATGTAGAAAAGACGTACAAAAGTGCATTTTGCATGATAGGTCCCCTTTAAGTTGAATATAAGGCCTCTGTTGAATAAGAAGCACAAGATCATATTTTACTCTATAAACCTTTTATTCACAGCCACATGCACACGTGACATATACAGTCTTTTTCAATTGCAAAATGTTAATAGAAATATTTTCCTGATTCAATTATGAATTGTAACAACTGTTGTAAGGTCCAACATTCAATTTGTCTAATTCCTTTGTTTATGACTCAATTGCTGCTTAACTGATCAAATCCCATAACTGCCAGGTCAACTGTGTGTTAAGTGCTGATTAGCAAATGCTAACAGTGTAAACTAAGATGATGAACATAGAAAACATTACACCTGTAAACATCAGCAGGTTAGCATGGTCATTGTGAGCATGGCTGAGGATTTGTAGACTGTCGATGTAGAACCACAGAAAAAAGCCTACTTTGTGCCTTTAGCCTTAGACAAAAGCTAATTCAAAGCTTAACCCAAGTCAAACATTTTGGTAAACTGTGACTTAAACATTCAACAATGATTATTTTGAAATTCAAGTACACACTTTTGATTCTAACACATTCATACATAGTGCAAAAGAGATCAAATATGATTCCCCATTGTTGGAATTTGTGCTCACCTTTTGTAATGTTCTTGTTTAGATGCTTTCTTGATTCATTTGTGCTCTTTGGTGTCGTTAAAAAGTGATTTGACAAGACTCACTCATGACAGTAACCCCCCATTAATTTCACTTCCTTAATGTTTAGAAGCAAATCAGGTCTGGTCTTGGACTATACAATGACCAACCTTTATGCAACTGTATCAAGCTTTACATGTGTTTACCCAGGCTGCACGGCGGTACTGCCCCCACCACATTGGACATTACCTGGGGATGGACGTCCACGACACTCCTGAGCTGTCCCGCTCACAACCTCTGCAGCCGGGGATGGCCATCACCATAGAACCAGGTTTACACAAAGTACCCTTTTTAATACCTGTTTAGTCTTTGGATTATTCTCAAAGACAATCCAGTTACTGTGCTGGAGGAACTGACTCTCACATTACACATTATCTTTTCTACATTTGATCTTTCACGTTATTCCTGCTTCTTCTAATCAAAAATTACTATTAACACCTCTGTTAGCACCAATGTGCAATAATGTAAAAAACAAAGACTATGACACCACTGTCCTAAAACAACACTATGTGCAATATGTAATATTATTATTACTAATGGATGCTACTCCTAGTTAGTCCATCCATTACTGTAACAAGAATCTTTACGTAAATATGTGCAATAATAATAATTTGACTACTGTTATATACCTCACTTCATTCTACAATGCTACACTTATTATATGTTATAAGTACTCCATGACTTTTAAAACCTGGAAAAGTCATGGAAATTCGAAATGCTAATTCCAGGCCCTGGAAAAGTCATGGAAAACAATATTTTTCCCAGAGTTTTGGAAAAGTCATAGAAATGTAACTAAAGTT